AATTGGAGATCTAAGTGAGCTCGATTTTAGTATTTTCGTAGTTTCTTATCCCTCAGGTTTGGGATCCTTTTGGATTTGGAACTACGATTTCTTAACTTGTTCAGTTTGGATGGGACTTCACTAACCTTTCACTTTAGTAACATGATATCTATGTAGTATATGCATAATGGTTTCTTCTTTTAGAAATGGGATCGTTACCTTCAGATTTGTCTGTTGTGAGTTATCACTATGTATGACCCTATGAATCTAAATTTTTCAGTAAAAGAACACTGAGATTACATTAGGTTTTGTTTCTAATTTAAGACATTGAGAATATAGGCTGCTCTTGGCATTTGCTAGTAAGAACGTGTAAGGTGTTTCTACCTCGGACCTCATCTGTGGGAATCTTAAATTACCATTAAATAATAGATATATAAAAATGTAGCAAATAAACATGACACTTTTAGCTTCTTCAAATTTGTTAACCCATTTCAAGCGCTGAGTTTTGAATTCAGTGTTCTTTGTATTTTATTTTTGTACAAAAATACAGTTTAAGGGAGGCGTAAATAGTATAATTAGAGAGCTAAAGGCTTACTGTGCTTTGTTCTAATACCATTTTAATCTGTCAATCTTATGAATGCAGGAAAAATTTCGAGTGGCGGTCTTAGTTTCACAAGCTGCACTTCAGTTCATTAATGGTGAGAATAGTGTAGCCCCTTAGTGTTCTTCAGTATGTAGTTTCTTTCTTTAACGAGAATGTTTTACGTGCTTACAGGCTTAAAGGTGTCCAGTGAGTACACAGTACCTGAAGAAGTAAGAAAAGCAGGATTTGAGATTTGTCCTGATGAGTTGGGATCAATCGTAGAGGGTCACGATGTGAAAAAACTAAAGATTCATGGTGGAACTGAGGGCCTCACAGAAAAACTCTGCACTTCGAGTTCTAGTGGAATTGATACATCGGAAGACCTGCTGAGTCTAAGAAGAGAAATTTATGGAATCAACCAGTTCACAGAAAGCCCCACTCGTGGCTTTTGGGTATTTGTTTGGGAAGCCCTTCAGGATACCACCCTCATGATTCTAGCTGCCTGTGCTTTTGTATCGCTTATAGTTGGGATACTGATGGAAGGGTGGCCAATTGGTGCTCATGACGGACTTGGTATAGTGGCGAGTATTCTGCTTGTTGTGTTTGTCACTGCCACCAGTGATTATAGGCAATCTCTGCAGTTCAAGGACCTGGATGCAGAGAAGAAAAAGATTGTGGTTCAGGTTACCAGAGACAAAATGAGGCAAAAGATATCGATTTATGATCTACTGCCTGGCGATATTGTTCACCTTGGCATTGGAGACCAGGTTCCGGCTGATGGGCTTTTTCTCTCAGGGTTTTCTGTTCTGATAAATGAATCAAGCTTGACAGGAGAAAGTGAACCGATTAATATCAGTGTGGATCACCCCTTTCTTCTCTCTGGTACCAAGGTTCAGGATGGATCTTGCAAAATGTTGGTGACTACAGTTGGAATGAGGACTCAGTGGGGTAAACTGATGGCTACACTAAGTGAAGGCGGTGATGATGAGACACCTTTGCAAGTAAAACTAAATGGTGTGGCAACCATCATTGGTAAAATAGGTCTATTTTTTGCTGTCATTACGTTTGCTGTTTTGGTGCAAGGATTGGCTAATCAGAAGCGGCAAGAAGGTTCTCACTGGATCTGGACTGGTGATGAATTGATGGCAATGCTGGAATATTTTGCTGTTGCTGTAACAATTGTCGTGGTTGCAGTCCCAGAGGGTCTGCCGTTGGCTGTGACATTAAGTCTCGCTTTTGCCATGAAAAAGATGATGAATGACAAAGCACTCGTGCGCAATCTAGCGGCCTGTGAGACAATGGGATCTGCAACAACTATATGTAGTGACAAGACTGGAACTCTGACAACAAATCACATGACTGTTGTAAAAGCTTGCATCTGTGAACAAGCGGAAGAGGTTAATGGTTCCGATGCTGCTCTTAAATTTGCCTCTAGTATTCCTGAGTCTGCTGTTAAGCTTTTCCTGCAATCTATATTTACTAACACTGGTGGTGAGATTGTCGTTGGCAAAGAAAACAAAACCGAGATACTGGGAACACCCACAGAAACTGCTCTGTTGGAATTTGGGTTGTCACTCGGAGGGAACTTCCAAGACATAAGACAAGCCTCAAATGTTGTGAAAGTTGAGCCCTTTAACTCTACAAAGAAAAGAATGGGAGTTGTCATTGAGCTGCCTGAAGGACATTTCCGGGCGCATTGTAAAGGTGCTTCTGAGATAGTTTTAGATGCCTGCGATAAGTACATCAACAAAGATGGTGAAGTTTTTCCCCTTGATGAAGACTCTACCAGTTACCTAAAGAACACAATCGAGGAATTTGCTGGTGAAGCACTCCGAACTCTTTGCCTTGCATATCTGGAATTTGGTGATGAATTTTCGTTAGAAGCTCCTATTCCAAGTGGAGGATACACTTGTATAGGTATTGTGGGCATCAAAGACCCTGTCCGCCCTGGTGTCAAGGAGTCTGTTGCAATTTGTAGATCTGCTGGCATCATTGTTAGAATGGTGACAGGAGATAACATTACAACTGCGAAGGCTATAGCCAGAGAGTGCGGGATATTGACTGATGACGGTATAGCTATCGAAGGCCCTGAATTCAGGGAGAAAAGTGATGAGGAAATGCTCAAGCTAATTCCGAAATTGCAGGTACATTTCTGCCAAACATAAGCTACTAGAATTGAACTATACTGTTTTTTCCGTGCAGTGTGTTTTGGTTATTCAGAACCAATTGATCCGCAAACACGAAACAAACCTTCAATTGCATTTGCACTATCTTCTGAATTTGAAGAAATACCTTAGGACATACTCTTCTACAATGGATTCAAGCATTAATTTTCTTTTTGCAGGTGATGGCACGATCGTCCCCCATGGATAAGCATACTTTAGTGAGACACCTCCGTACAATGTTTCAGGAAGTCGTTGCAGTGACAGGTGATGGAACAAATGATGCTCCTGCCCTTCATGAAGCTGATATTGGACTTGCAATGGGAATTTCGGGAACTGAGGTATGTCCTCTCTTCCTTGTCTGTATTTTCAGTATCTGGTTTATGAGAAAATCTCTCCCTAGTAAATGATAATCTGGACAGTGAACACACACCGGACACAAAATTCGAGTCTGGATTTTCACTTTTCTTTTTTACCAATTTACATAGGTGGCAAAAGAGAGTGCGGATGTGATTATACTAGATGACAACTTCTCGACGATTGTCACAGTGGCGAAATGGGGCCGTTCTGTGTACATAAACATTCAGAAATTTGTGCAATTCCAGCTGACAGTAAATGTTGTGGCTCTTATTGTCAACTTCGTATCAGCATGCCTTACTGGTTAGTTCCGAACCACATTTCTTTTTCCCTTGTTCAAAAGACCATTAACCTCAGAAATTTTTAACGAACTTCTCTATCTCATTGTGTGCCTCAGGAAACGCGCCTCTGACAGCTGTCCAGCTACTGTGGGTTAACATGATAATGGACACACTTGGAGCGCTTGCCCTAGCCACGGAACCACCGCAGGACGATCTGATGAAGAGATCTCCAGTGGGAAGGAAAGGAAACTTCATAAGTAATGTAATGTGGAGAAACATCCTCGGTCAGTCACTTTACCAGCTTGTCATCATATGGTGTCTTCAAACAAAAGGAAAGACAATGTTTGGTCTCGATGGCGTCGACTCTGATCTTACACTCAATACCCTTATTTTCAACGTCTTTGTCTTCTGCCAGGTATACTTCCCTAATCATGTAGTAAGTAAGTTAATAAAAAAACATTGACCACAACCATGTTCTCATAATAATAATTCATTTTTTTCCAGGTATTCAATGAGATAAGCTCGAGGGAAATGGAGAAGATTGACGTGTTCAAGGGGATACTGAAGAACTACGTCTTCGTAGGGGTTCTAATGTGTACAGTGGTGTTCCAAGTAATCATAATCGAGCTACTGGGTACATTTGCAGATACGACGCCGCTTAATTGGAGCCAATGGTTCATTAGCATTACGCTAGGATTCCTTGGCATGCCTGTTGCTGCTGCCTTAAAGATGATCCCTGTCGGTTCGCACTAAAGTCATACAAGTATTAATATGTGCTTCCTTATGCCACTGTACCTTTATAGCTTTGAAAGGTACCAATTTTTTTTTCTCCGGCTATGGAAGTTTGGTATCCCGAGTGGCCCTGGAAACTATTTGGGCAAATGTATAAACTGATTTGGAAAAGGATTTTTGCTTAGTAAATAATATATTGATCTTGTTGAAACTTTTTTGGTTTATTTTTTTGTTATTCGCTGAAAAGAATGAAACGTAATGCGTTGAAGCCATGACCGTGGCCTTTTGGTCGGTTAAATTGGTCACAATTTACAAGCTTGTTGCGGTACGTGAACTATTGAAGTTTAGTTTCCTGTAGAACCACCCCTGACTATAACCGAATCTGAACCACTGTCTTATATTATTTGCAGTTTTGAGTCTCACCTCAAAGTATCATAGAAAATTATACTCTTAAGACAGTCGAAAATTGTTAAATGAAAAGAGACTTGGAATTAAAACAAACATAAAAGTGTATTGGGACCCAAATAATTAAAACATGAAACAGCAAAAAAATTGTAATGATACACTAAAATTCTCAATAACAACACTTTCCAAGATGGCAGTGAGTTTGCAGAGCTTCTCAAAATTAATTAAATTGTGAAAACGATCATTCATTCTCCTCCGCCGTTGCTGCGTAATGCCCAACGTTCATATTCTGCATTCACAGTTTATGAACAAAATTCAGTTTCTATATCTTCTGCACGACAAAATTTCCAGAAAAGATGATCAACGACAATTTACAATACCTTAGCCAATTTCCTCTGGTTGTTCAGGAACTGCGTTCTTGCTTTGTTGAGAGCTGAGTTTGGTGATTTAAACAACCTCTGCAACAATACGAGCAAAGAGGTTTTGTTAACAAAGATTGTGCAATGGGATGCATATTTCTACAAGACCGATACACATAATGTAGATACAAGATACTGCTGCTCCTGGTTAACACCGGAAAGAATCTCTGCCTACCCATTAAAGAAACAAAAAAAATGAATGCGGCCACAAACAAACCTTTTCCTCACTAGACAGATGAGACTCCCTTCCACCAAACTTCTTCTTTGGAGTGAAACTAAATACATCATGAAGGAAATCGTTCTCCTGATTGCCAAAACAAACAAAACAGCAGAGCGTTAGCTTAAAACGAAAGAAAACATAAGAGAGTGGACACTTGGAAAAAATGGAAAATTGAGACAACAAACCTGCATATGCTTGATAAAGCCACCCCCAAGGAAATGCTTTAAAAAATTCAACTGTTAGAAAGCAACAAGCATATATGTTAAAACCAGTCAATGGAACAAAATGAGACAAAAGAACAGAGAAGTCCAGTTAAGATTGAGAGTAACCTGTATCATCTGACACCACGTTGACGTCTGTAAAGAATCCCCACCAACCTTTGTTGAGGTTTCAGGGGCGTATCCACCCTAATGAAAATTAAAACAAATCATATAAAAATCAGACCACAAGAGCCGACATAAACTCCATCAGGTGCATAATATATCATCGAAAAGGTGAAGTTATACCTCAAGAAACTCAGTAAGATCTTTGAACAAATTTCGTTGGGTGTTAAGGTCCTTTTTAGCAGAACCTTTACCACCTGCCTCTGCAGAGAGGTCTCTAACTTGATTAGTGACTTTAGATTTTAAGCCATGCATGTGCATCACTGCCTCCTGAGACACACTTCCTTCTTTCACTGATCCATTAGTAGATCCTTTGGCTTCTGCAGAGAATTTCTCTAGGTCTCCCAACTCAAAAATCACTGCAAGCGCTTCACCAGCAGCTATACGTACAGATCGGTCATCCTTTTCCAACAGTGAAGAGAGATAAGTAACAATCCTGCAATCGCGTAAATATATAATCAGCTTATATATCCATGAATACCCGACACAAGATCGAAGAAAAGCCCGACGCTCCACTTACTCTTGCCAAATTTTAGGACTTAGCTTCCACTGATCTAGTGTTGTGAGCAGAAACGCCCAGGAAGAGACAACAGCAGTTGTTACAGCAGGTGAAGGTTTGGTTGCAACAACCTACAAAAATTGTCAAACTTCCATGTGAGCATACCTTATACTTTGGACTAAACCACCTAAAGACCATATTGACAAGACCTGTAATATTAGAAAGAATAAGATGCATACATTGGAGCCTAGTTTGGGGTGAATCATTTGCCAGATTATTTGCATAGATTTTTCGGTTTGATCTGGATCAGTCCCACCAACAAAGGTTATGACTGCTAAACACTCAAGTATCTGCAACAAAAATGGCAAGATATTAACAATCGTGAATCGAAGATAAAATCTTATTGAGAAACCATTAACAGGATTACAAAACTGTTTGATAACCAAATCATCCTTACCGAAGTTATTTTCAAGGCGTCACGACCAGATTTAAGGGCTTGAGAAAGAGGAGTTATGGATTCTTCCAAAATCTCTTGCGCTTGATCCCCAAGTCCAACAGTCAATGCTAGCAACCCTGCAAACAACACAATTAACTGTTAATATGACTCAATTAAGAATTGCTGAAGATGATGCATTTGTTCCTCAATGACTAACCAATAACATGAGTTGCTAATGAAATCTCTTTACTAGACCCTTTCTTGGTGCAGTGTAAACATTGATGCAATAAAGTGGCAAATCTGCATCATCAAAACAAAACATAAACACAAAGCAACATAAGTATGGTTTCTGTAGAACGTATGATTAACTACACGAGCTTGTAAGTGGATTGTTAAACTAAAGAAAGAAATGAGAATCAGATGGTTACTTCTTTTCCACAAACTCAAACTGCAAATCGCTGTTAAATGCTTCAATAATGGAGGCTAAAGCTTCCTCTCTCGTGGAACTCCTTCACATCAAAAAGCAAAATAATCCAAATTAAATATCAGTACTTTTACATCCAAAACTGAAGC